GTCTGGAGCTCACAGAGATGCCAGACACTGCAACTTCATTATGATGCTATGTTTACACAGATCAAATTGTCCCTTGGACCTGCAGGTTATACGCACATACCCTACGGCAATGAAATTGCTGTCCCATGTTGGTAACATTCATTCTCACCAGAGTGAGATGATATCTCAGTGTGGTTTTGACTGACTTCTCGTGAGGATCAGTAATGTTGATTCAGAATCTTTAACCTGTGCATCCATCTCAGGTCTTCAGGTCCTTCGCCCAGTCTTACACGTCAAATTGAAACAAGTTCACAATAACTTGGCAAACATCTCTAACCACAAGCAAAATGTAAGTCAAAACCACACTTAGATACCATTTCAATCTAATTGGAATGAGTATTAAAATGAAAAAAAAAACAACAAAACATCGAAAGAAAGGGAAACATTGGTGTGTTTCAGAGAGAGAGACACTCTTCTCCACAGTTCGTGAGAAGGTTAAACTAGCACACACGATACAGAAACCACTTGGAGGTTCCTCCAAACCTTAAAAGACTCCAACTACCGTTTCAACCAGCAATTCTACTACTGGAAATACCCTCAAAGCCATTGAAATCAGGCACCAAAGATCGATCTACCCACCCATGTGGATTCCAGCACTGTTCCCAAGAGCCAGTGTAAGCATCAACCTACCTGCTTGTCCACAGACGAGGGAGAAAGAAGCTGCTCCACATGTACACACGGGGATTATCTTCACACAGAAAACCACAATGAAATCCTATTGTGGGGGAACCACACGGTTGCACCTGGAGAACATGATGGTAAATTAAATGAGTGAGGGGGAGAGAAAACAAACCTTGAGTCATCTCACACATGCAGAATCTGAGAAACTATCTCCAAAGACCTGGCGAGCACAATATTGGTTTGCAGAGATTGGGGGAAAAAGAGGAGTAATGGGCAGGGATGCAAATTGGAAAATGAGAGGAAGAAAATTCTGTTGTTTTATTCCAGTGCAGGGTGACCAGGGTTAACAGTATCGGCACATCACTTTCAACGCAGCTTGACAGGAGAATACTGAAGGTTCTCACCATAAAGGAATAAACAATGGGAAAATGTAACAGAAACACTAAGTACCCTGATTTCATCATTCCACAATGTATGCATGGACCATACTGCCCCACTCTACCCTCTCATTGTATTGTTCGTTTACTATGCAACACATGTGTTGCAAGAAATAGAAATAGGGTGATGCTAATATTCATGTGGGACCATGAAGTGCCCCTGAGTTTCATCCTCAGCAATCCTGAGACATCTAGACTACACTGGACATATCACACTTCCTAATTTCAAATTCATGGAAAAGCTAGGACCTGCTTCCACATAGAGCAGGAGTAACACAAGAAGAGGACCAAGAAGTAAAATCACACACTGAAAACTATCTACATAGAAACCCATCAAGTAAGCAAGGGAAAGGACACCCTATTCAATCAAGGTTGCTGAAATAAGTGGCTAGCCATGTGCAAAAGATAACACTAGGCCCCTACCTCTCACCAGACACAAAAAGGAACTCTACATGAATGAAAGATTCCAACGGAAAAACTCAAAGTATTAAAATCTTATGAGAAAACTTGTGAAATATCCTTACCCACATAGGCTTTGGCAAATCATTTAGATGGCTAAGTCCTGAAGAGTAATGGCAATAAAAACAGAAATTGACAAGTCAGACCAAATATCTGAAGGAGCTGCTGCACAGCAAAAGAAACCACCAACAGAGTAAACAGACAGCCTACAAAATGGGAGAACATGGTCCCAAACTGTGCATCTGACCAATTCTAATATGCAGGAATCTACAAAGGCCCTTCAACAAGTCAACAAGGGAATATCCCACTAATAAATTGGGCAAGAGGCCATGAACACGCACTTCTCAAAAGTCAATGTAGAAGCAACCAACAAATAGGGAAAACATGCTCAAACTCACTCATTATCGGAGAGCTGCCAATCAAAAACATGACGAGGTGCCATCCCACGCAGGTCACAATGGTGAGGACCACACAGACAAGGAACACATGCTGGCGAGGCAGTTGAGGAAAGGGAAACACTGGTTATGCTTTCGAGGGGGATGAAACTAGTACAGACACCGTTGAAAGCTGATCGGGGGATTTCTCAAAGAGCTGCAAACAGAACTACCATCTCACCCAGTAAGCCCACTCCTGTGCATCTACCCAAAGGAATATCAATCCTTCAATCCAAAAGATACAGGCACTTGAATGTTCATGACAGTATTATTCACAATGTCAAAGACATGGAATCAACCTAGCCATCAACAGTGGATGAGAGGGCGGCACAGTGGCTCACACCTGTAATTCTAGCACTTTGGGAGGCTGAGGCAGGTGGATCGCTTCAGTTCAGAATTTGAGACCAGCCTGGGCAAAATGGTGAAATCCCATCTCTACAATAATAAAAAAATTAGCTGATGTGGGGGCAGGCACCTGTAGTCCTATCTAATCCAGAGGCTGAGGTGGGAGGATCACCTGAGAACAGAAGACGGAAACTGCAGGCCACTGTCGTAAGTGAACTAAGGCCCAAATAGAAAACCAAACGCTACATGTTCTCACTTATAAGCAGGAGTTAAACTTTGAATGGACTCAAACATAAAGAAGAGAACACCAGACACCTGGAATGACCACCAGACCAATAAGAAAAACAGGGGAGAGGGAACGTGTGCTGAAGACCCACCCTGTGGGCCCTCTGCTCACTGCCTGGGTTACGGGGTTGTTGGGACCCCAAGTCTCAGTGTCATGCAATCAACAGATGTAACTAACTTGCATATGTACCTTTTAAGCTATAATAATAAAGAATGCACTGAAAGAAAATCCAAGGTGAGAACCGAGAAAATAATAAATGAAAAAACAATCTGTAGATATCCAAACAATCCATGACTGTCATAAACACAGAATGAGGACCTAAGAGGACACAATGTGGCAGCCAAATACTCTATCCAACATGTTATGTAGGGAACACATTTTTCAAAACCCCAAAAAGATACAATGAGAAAGGGAGAGTATGGTTCAATATTGATTTTGAGAAAACTGAATATCCACAGGCAAAATACTGAAATAGGACCCTTATAATGCACGATACACAAAATCAACACAAATAAATTAAAGACCTAAACTCAATCTTGAAACTGTAAAGGTCCTCTAAGAAAACATAGAGTGGGTGTATATTTAGGAAACACTGTATCTATGCAAACAGGCTGCAAAGGTAAAAAAGCATCACAACACTAAAAACAAAGTAGGGAAACTACACCCATAGACAATGCAAGGCTTGGTTCCGTGTGTGTGTGTGTGTGTGTGTGGTGCGTGTGCACATACGTTTTTCTGTTTCGTGGAAGTGGGGTGTTGAACACAAAAATCACTGTTAACATATGCAACTATAACCATATGAGACTAGGGACACTTTAAAAAGTCTACAGGGGAAAAGGAAACAAACAAAAAAGAGGAATCCTAAAGACTGGGAGAAACGATAAAAAATCCTAACCCTGAAAGAGGTTGTTATCTAACACATACAATAAACTGATATGACTCAGTGAAAAACAACAACAACAATAAAAACAACAATATCCAAGGTAAAAGGATCTAAGTAGACCTGAGTGAAAAGAAGTCAGAAAACTGACTCATAGGGTGACAGTTCCTCAATATCACTAATCCTCACAAAAACATGAATCAAAACCATAACTGAAATCAAAACCATCTAATTTCACCTAGAATGAGTATCACAAAAGACAAAAATCAAAATTGTTGAAGGCAATGGTCAGTGTAGACTTACAGAAAAAAATTAATCTTCTACACTCTTTGTGAATGAAAATTACTGTACACACTACAAAAACTTTTGGGAAGTTCCTTAAAAAAGTAAAAGGTAGGCCAGGCACGATGGCTCACACCTGTAATCTCGGCACTTTCGGAGGCTGAGACAGGTGGATCACCTGAGGTCAGGACTTCCAGACCAGCCTCACCAACATGGTGAAATCCCATCTCTACTAAAAATACAAAAATTAGCTAGGCATGGTGGCAGATGCCTGAATTTCCAGCCAGTTGGGAGGCTGAGGTGGGAGAATTGCTTGAACGCAGGAAGCGGGAGGTTGCATTGAGCCGAAATCACGCCACTGCACTCCAGCCTGGGCGACAAGAGCAAGACTCCACCTTTAAAAACAAAAACAAAAAAACTAAAGGTAAAAGTACAACTGCCACTCCAGCTTACAATCCCACCACTGGGTACATGTTTAGAGAAAATGAAATCCCTGTGTTATCTGCCTTTTCATGTGTCCTGAAGCACTAGTCACAACAGCCAAGATGTGGAATCAACCTACCTGTCTATCCACAGATGAAGGGATAAAGGAACCACAGTATATATACACAAGGAAACACACATCAGCTGTAACACTTCAGGAAATCATGTCATCTGCAACCACTTGGAGAAACCTGGAAGACAATTAGGTGAAATGAAACGAGTCTGTTAGGGAGAGACCCATGCTGCATGACATCAGGCATATGGAATCCAAAAAACACTGTCTCCTAGAAAGAGAACTTTCAACAGGGGCTACTAGAGGCTGGGGAGAGCAGGGAGCCTGGGCAGGGATCGGTAACGGGTACAGAGTGACGCTCAGAGACGAGGAATCCATTCTGGTTTCTATTGCACAGCAGGGTGACTAGGGTCAACAGAATCTAGAAAAATTTTTCAAAATCAGCAGGAAAATACGGTTCTGAATATTCTCTCCACAGAGAAAAAATGATGATGGAAGATCACAGACATGCCAGATACGATGATTTCATCATGATTCTATACATAGATATCTCAAAATGTCCCTTGCACCTTGGGTTGTGTGTGTGTGTGGGTATAATCTATACTCTATAGAAACAAACTGCCATCAAATGTTGGTAGTATTCATTCTAACCAGAGTGAGATGAAATCTCAGTGTGATTTTCACTTATGCTTTTGTGTGCATCAGCAATGGTGGGAATCTTCTCTTTGACCTGTGCATAAATCGCATGTCTTCAGGTCCTCTGCCCAGTCCTACACAACAAATTAAAAACAAATTCACAATAACTTAGCAACTACCATTTATACACACACAAAAATCAAGCACACACTCAGATTCCATCTCACTCTACATGCAATGGATGCTACAAGAAAAAAATTGAAAAATATTAAAAGTTAAAAAAAAAATCACAGATCTTCAGAGGAGGCACTTGTCTCCACACCTGGTGGAAAATGGAAAATGGTGAACTAGCATGCACACTAAAGAAACCACTTGTATGTTCCTTGAAATCCTAAAACTTACAACTACCATCTTATCTAGTAATTCTATTACTAGGTATACAAGCACAGCACATGATCAGGACATGGAAGAGATGATCTGTCATCCCAGGTGGAATTCAGCCCTAGGCACAAAAGCCAAGGTAAGAAATCAGCCTCCCTGTCCATTCACAGATGAAGGGATGAAGAATCTCTAGTGCACAGACACAATGGAATACTTCTGGGCCATCAAACTTCACGGAATCCTATCATTTCCAGCAACATGGCTGCACCTGGAGATATTCTGTTCAATCAAATCAGAAACGCAGACAAAGACCATGCCTGCATGTTCTCACTTATGTGGGAGCTGAAAAATGTAACTCACTGAGGTGAAAATACAGTAATGGTCACCGGCAGGCTAGGTGGAGGAGAGGACATCAAGGATTGGCAATAGGTACACAGAGAGTTACAGGAGAGGAATACATTCTGGTATTCCAGTCCAAAGCAGGGCGGCGATACTTAACAACATGGTCGTGCCGTTTTCAAAGAGCTACCAAGGAGGATACTGAATGTTCACACATCGAAGATATCAAACCTATACATGGTCACAAGCATGGGAAACTCCCTGATTTTCTCCATACTCAAGGTATACAAACAAGTATCACAATGTCCCAATGCACCCCTAATTCTGGACATAAAGTATGAAACAAATGTTTTATGAAATATTAATGATATACGGCTAGAAATTCCCATGGAACCACCAAGACCCAAAGAACCTGAATATGCAAATCCTAGGGAATACAAACTGAATTGGAGGCTGCACACTCCCCAATTTCAAAATACATGTAAAACCTCCACTCATCCAAAGACTATAGTAGTGGTATAAAAATGAATCCATGAAACTAGGGACATAAGAGAACCTAAACGCACACCTGTATGCAGTCAACACATTTTTTTTCAAAGGAACGCCTAGAAGATGCAATGAGGCTGAGTGCTGAGGCTCACACCTGTACTCCCAGCGTTTTCGGAGACTGAGTCAGGCAGATGACTTGAGGTCAGGAGTTTCAGACCAGCTTGGCAAAAATGGTGAAATTCCATCTCCAGTAAAAATACAAAAAATACTAGTCATGTGTGCTGGTGCACACCAGCATCCCAGCCACCTGGGAAGATGAAGCACGAGAATCTCTTGAAGCAAGGAGGCAGATGTTGCAGAGAGCTGAGATCTCGCCACTGCACTCTCGTCTGGGTGACAGCATGAGTAGGACTGCGGTCTCAAAGATAAAAAGATGAGATGAGGAGTCAGCAGTCTGTTCAGTTGAGCACTCTGAAACGACTGGATAGCCACATACAAAACAATGAAATAAGACTTTGATGTTATACAATACACAACATAAACTCAACATACATTAAACCCTAAACACAAGACCTAACAGCGTAAAACTGCTACAGGGAAAACACAGAGTGAGCTTAAGTTTAGGAAAACCTGAATCTAAGCTCACAGGGATGTAAAAGCAAACAATAGAAAAAAAGAAAACCAGAAAAAAACCCACTTTGAACAACAGAGGTCAAAAAACTCTAGTTTTTGTTATTGACCTTATCTTACAAAAACAGTCACTGCTAGCCAGGCACAGTGGCTCACGCCTGTAAACCCAGGACTTTGGGAGGCCGAGGTGCACAGATTGCTTGAGATCAGGAGTTTGAGGACCTGCCTAGCCAACATGGTAAATCCTGTCCCTATCAAAATACAAAAATTAGCTGGGAGTAGTGGCACACCCGCAGTCCCAGCTACTCGGGAGGCTGAGACAACAGAATCGCTCGAACCTGGGAGGTGGAGGTTGCAGTGAGCCAAGATGTGACACCCTACTCCAGCCTGGGCAACAGAGTGAGACTCTGTCTAAAAAAAAAAAAAAAAAAAAAAAAGGTAAAACAAAAAAATCACAACTAAAACAATCAAGAAATAAAAACACAAAACAGCCTGAAGAAGTTCTGCATAGTAAAGAAAACAATGCACTAACCAACACTCAGAAGGCATTCTTCAGACAGAAAGGATATTACGAGGAATCATGTATCTAAAAGCGGTTGTTATCTGACATCTTGGGGAACGAACACCCCACTGAGGAGCAAAACACCCAAAACCAAGTAACCCAGCCATAACTGGGCAACAAACCTGAACAGACATTACTGAAAAGGCAATATGCAATTCACTAACAGGAAAAAAAAGGTGGTTCTCACCACTGCTAGTCATCTCTAAACTGTAAATGATAATCACACTCAGATACAAACTCACTCTAATTCTAACAAAAAATAAAAACCAGTTATTTCAAACGAATGCCCCAGGGAAACCTGGCATACACAGATACTCTTTCCACACTGTTGAGAGAGAAATCACCATTACCATAGGTACTACGAAAACCACTTGGAACTTCCCAAACAATCACAAAGCTAGCTACACTTCATCTAGCAATTCAACAATGCGTATCTACTTATGGACAGAGGAAATCTCTACATGGAAATCATAGCTGCCTTCCCAGGTGGAGTGAAGCACTACTCACAATAGCCAAGGGCAGATCACCTGAGGTCAGGGGTTTGAGATCAGCGTGGCCAACATGATGAAACCCTGTCTCTACTAAAAATACAAAAATTACCCAGGTATGGGGGAACACACCTATACTCCCAGCTACTCGGGGAGCTAAGGAGGGAGAATCCCTTAAACACAGGAGATGAAGGTTGCAGTGAGCTGAGATGGCGCCACTGCACTGTCCAGCCTGGGCAACAAGAGAGAAACTCCGTCTCCAAAAAACAAAAACACAAACACAAACACAGGTAAAATAATGGGTTTCTCAGTATCACTGTTTGAGATCAACTCATCTCAAACATGTAAATGAAAACTACACCCTGGCACCATCTCAATCTAACTGATATGAATATTGCCAAAAAGAAAGATTGTGTTTGAAATAAGGCAAAAGCTGGTGAAAAGACAAAGAAGTGATAATCTTACCACACTGCTGGGTGGAACTTTAATCAGGATGTGCTCTAGGAAAAATAGTAGAAGGTCCCTGAACAAATTAACCATACGCCTAACATATAATGTCATCATCCCATCTACAGCCATCCATGGAAAGCAAATGAAATTTGTATGCTGGAGACAAAGCTTCCTTCTCCTCTTTCTTGACATGCTACTGACAATAGCCAAAGGATGGAATCAACCTACCTGTCCATCCACAGATGAAGGGATAAAGAATTTCCAGGACACAGGCACAATGGAATACTTTTCAGCCATCAAAATTCAGGGCATTTTTCATTTCCCACAACACGGCTGCACCTGCAAGATACTATGTTCAATCAAATCAGAAAAGCAGAAATAAGAGAAAAATCAACCCTGCATGTTCTCAATTATGTGGGGCTGAAAAATTTAACTCACTGAAGGTGAAAATACAGTAGTGGTCACCACAGGCTGGGTAGAGGAGAGGACATGGGCAAGGACTGGCAATAGGTATGCAGAGAGTTAAAGGAGAGGAATACATTCTAGTATTCTACTCCACAGCAGGGTGACTGTGTGTAACAATATGGTCGTGTCTTTGTCAAAACAGCTACCAAGGAGGATACTGATGTCCACACCTCAAAGATATAAGACCTATACCTGATCACAGGCACAAGTAACTCCTTGATTCTATCCTTATGCAAGGTATACAATTATCACAATGTCTCACTTCACTTCTAATTCTGGACATGTGGTATGAACCAAACTTTTTATAAAATGTTAACTATACACAGCTAAAAATTCACATGGAACCACCAAAGACCCTGAATATGGAAAGAAGTCCTACCTAGGAAATACAAACTAGATTGGAGGCATCACACTCATCTTCAAATTACAGGTAAAAGCTCTACTTACCCAAAGACTACGGCAGTGGCATAAAAAGAAACCATGCACCTCTGGACATAACAGTACCTAAACACACACCTGTATGCAGTCAACACATTTTTTCTCAAAAGAACGCCTACAAGATGCAACGAGGCTGGGTGCTGTGGCTCACAAATTAAAACCTAAACACATGACTCAAAAACATAAAACGCCTACAGGAAAACAGAGTGAGCTTAAGTTTTGAAAAACCTGAATCGAATTAAAATAGTTCGAAAAACAACAAAAGGAAAACACTTCCAATAATAGAACTCAAAAATTTTGGTTTTTATTATTGACTGTATCCTACAAGAACAATCACTGTGTGACTGGGCACAGTGGCTCACACCTGAGGCCAAGAGGCGGGTGGATCACAAGGCCAGGAGATCAACAACATCCTGGCTAACACGGTGAAACCCCGTCTCTACGGATTCACAGCCGAATTCTACCAGAGGTACAAAGAGGAGCTGGCACCATTCCTTCTGAAACTATTCCAATCAACAGAAAAAGAGGGAATCCTCCCTAACTCATTTTATGAGACCAACATCATCCTGATACCAAAACCTGGCAGAGACACAACAAAAAAAGACAATTTGAGACCAATATCCCTGATGAACATCGATGCAAAAATCCTCAATAAAATACTGGCAAACCGAATCCAGTAGCACATCAAAAAGCTTATCCACCATGATCAAGTGGGCTTCATCCCTGGGATGCAAGGCTGGTTCAACATACGCAAATCAATAAATGTAATCCAGCATATAAACAGAACCAAAGTTAAAAACCACATGATTATCTCAATAGATGCAGAAAAGGCCTTTGACAAAATTCAACAGCCTTTCATGCTAAAAACTCTCAATAAATTCGGTATTGATGGAACGTATCTCAAAATAATAAAAGCTATTTATGACAAACTCACAGCCAATATCATACTGAATGGGCAAAAACTGGAAGCATTCCTTTGAAACTGGCACAAGACAGGGATGCCCTCTGGTCACCACTCCTATTCAACATAGTGTTGGAAGTTCTGGCTAGGGCAATCAGGCAAGAGAAAGAAATCAAGGGTATTCAGTTAGGAAAAGAAGAAGTCAAATTGTCCCTGTTTGCAGATGACATGAATGTATATTTAGAAAACCCCATCATCTCAGCCCAAAATTTCCTTAAGCTGATAAGCAACTTCAGCAAAGTCTCAGGATACAAAATCAATGTACAAAAATCAAAGCATTCTTATACACCAGTAACAGACAGAGAGCCAGATCATGAATGAACTTCCATTCACAATTGCTTCAAAGAGAATAAAATACCTAGGAATCCAACTTATAAGGGATGTAAAGGACCTCTTCAAGGAGAACTACAAACCACTCCTCAGTGAAATAAAAGAGGACACAAACAAATGGAAGAACATACCATGCTCATGGATAGGAAGAATCAATATTGTGAAAATGGCCATACTGCCAAGGTAATTTATAGATTCAATGCCATCCCCATTAAGCTACCAATGACTTTCTTCACAGAATTGGAAAAAACTGCTTTAAAGTTCATATGGAACCAAAAAAGACCCTGCATTGCCAAGACAATCCTAAGCCAAAAGAACAAAGCTGGAGGCATCACGCTACCTGACTTCAAACTATACTACAAGGCTACAGTAACCAAAACAGCATAGTACTGGTACCAAAACAGAGATATAGACCAATGGAACAGAACAGAGTCCTCAGAAAAAATACCACACATCTGCAGCCACGTGATCTTTGACAAACCTGAGAAAAACAAGAAATGGGGAAAGGATTCCCTATTTAATAAATGGTGCTGGGAAAATTGGCTAGCCATAAGTAGAAAGCTGAAACTGGATTCTTTCCTTACTCCTTATATGAAAATTAATTCAAGATGGATTAGAGACTTAAATGTTAGACCTAATACCATAAAAACTCTACAAGAAACCTAGATAATACCATTCAGGGACATAGGCATGGGCAAGGACTTCATGTCTAAAACACCAAAAGCAATGACAACAAAAGCCAAAATTGACAAATCGGATCTAATTAAACTAAAGAGCTTCTGCACAGCATAAGAAAACTACCATCAAAGTGAACAGGCAACCAAAAATGGGAGAAAATTTTTGTAATCTACTCATCTGACAAAGGGCTAATATCCAGAACCTACAAAGAACTCAGACAAATTTACAAGAAAAAAACAAACAACCCCATCAAAAAGTGGGCAAAGGATATGAACAGACATTTCTCAAAAGAAGACATTCATACAGCCAACAGACACATGAAAAAATGCTCATCATCACTGGCCATCAGAGAAATGCAAATCAAAACCACAATGAGATACCATCTCACACCAGTTAGAATGGCAATCATTAAAAAGTCAGGAAACAACAGGTGCTAGACAGGATGTGGAGAAATAGGAACACTTTTACACTGTTAGTGGGATTGTAAACTAGTTCAACCATTGTGGAAAACAGAATGGCAATTCCTCAAGGATCTAGACCTAGAAATACCATATGACCCAGCCATCCCATTACTGGGTATATAACCAAAGGATTATAAATCATGCTGCTATAAAGACACATGCACACGTATGTTTATTGCGGCACTATTCACAATAGCAAAGACTTGGAATCAACCCAAATGTCCAGTAGTGACAGATTGGATTAAGAAAATGTGGCACATATACACCATGGAATATTATGCAGCCATAAAAAAAGATGAGTTCGTGCCCTTTGTATGGACATGGATGCAGCTGGAAACTATTGCAAGAACAGAAAACCAAACATTGCATGTTCTCACTCATAGGTGGGAACTGAACAATGAGATCACCTGGACACAGGAAGGGGAACATCAAACACCGGGGTCTATTATGGGAGGGGGAGGGGGGAGGGATGGCACTGGGAGTTATACCTGATGTAAATGACGAGTTGATGGGTGCTGACAAGTTGATGGGTGCAGCACACCAACATGGCACATGTATACATATGTAACAAAGCTACACGTTGTGCACATGTACTCTAGAACTTAAAGTATAATTAAAAAAAAAAAAGAATATTAGAAAAAAAAAAAGAAATCCCGTCTCTACTTAAAAATACAAAAAAATTAGCCAGGTGTGGTGGCAGGCACCTGTAGTCCCAGCTACATAGGCGTGTGACACAGGAGAAGGGCGTGAAACCGGGAGGCAGAGCTTCCAATGGGCCAAGATGGCAGCCGCACTCCAGCCTAGGTGACAGAGAGAGAGACTCCATCTCAAAAAAAAAAAAAAAAAAGAAAAAAGAATCATCACTGCAAACTAAAATAACAATCAGTTAAAACAAACAAACAAACAAACAAAAACCGAAAAACTACTGCACAGTAAAGAAATCAATGCACCTACCAACACTCAGAAGGCATTCTTCAGATAGAAAGGACATTATAAGGAATCATGTATCTGAAACTAAGACACCATTGAGGAGAAAACACTAAAAACCAAGTAACCCAGCCTAAACTGGGACACAAACCTGAAGAGACATTACTAAAAAGACAGTGTGCAATGCACTAACATGTAAAAAGGTGGTTCTCGACATTATCAGTCATCTCTAAACCGTAAATGAAAAGCACGCTCAGATAGAGACTCATCCTAATTTGAACAATTAAAAGAAATCAATTATTTCAAACAAATTCCCCAGAGGAAGTTGCATACACACTCTCATACACTGTTGGGGAGAAATATACAGGCACTATGAAAACCTCTTGGAGCTTCCCAAACAATCAAAAAGGAAACTACCATTTCATCTGGCAATTCCAGCAGTGGGTATACACTTAGGGACAGTGAAATCACTGCATGGAAGCCGCAGCTGCCTTTCTAGGTTGAGTGAAGCACTATACACAATAGCCAAGGTATGCAATCAACCTATCTGTCCATCAACTGATGAAGAGATGAAGGAACTTCAGCATACAGACACAACGAAATACGCCCCATCAACAAACATCGATGACAGAACATCCATTGCGGCAACACGGATAAACCTGGAAGACATTATATTCAATGGAATCAGCCAGGCAGGGAAAGACAAACACTGCATCATCTCACCCATGATGAGACTAAAAAAGAATTATCTAATGGAAAGTGAAAGTATAATAGTGGTTATCAGATGCTGGGGGGAGGAGAGGGCATGGGCTGGCATTGGTAATGGGTACCAAGTTGCATTTCCAGGGGAGGAATTAATGCTGGTGATCTACTCCACAGGAGGGAGACTACAAGTAACAATATGGTAGGATCTCTTTCAACAGAGCTAGAAAGGAGAGGAACAATGAAGGTTCACATCACAGACAAATAAAAACTAGACATGGGAATAGATATGCAAAACACCCTGACTTCATCATTCCTCAAAGTACACAAGTAAAAAAAAATCCCACTGTACCCCCTAATTTTGGACATGTATGACAAACCCAATTTTAAAACTATAAATGAACAATGGCAAACTTCACACAGAACCATGAAGACCCTGAAAATCCAAAGCACTTTCCAGAAATAGAAACTCACTTGAATGCCTCACGCTCCCCGACGTCAAATTTCATCGAAAAGCTATACTTACTGAGGCAGCAAGGAACTGGCATAAAAATAGAAACATATGCCATTGGACAGTATCAGGCAGCCAACAGGCAAACCTGAATGTACTTACAGTCAACAGATGTCTCAAAAGGCCAGGCGTGGTAGCTCACGCCTGTAATCCTAGCGTTTTGGGAGGCCACAGCGGGCGGACCACTTGATGTCAGGAGTTTGGGATCAGCCTGGCCAACACGGTGAAACCCTGTCTCTAATAAAAATAGAAAAATTAGCAAGTGTGGTTACATGTGCCTGTAATCCCAGCTACTTGGGGGCTGAGGAGGGAGAATCGCTTGGATCCGGGAGG